TGTGACCAGTGTCCCTCTAAGAAGAGGAGAAGAGACACAGACAGGCGCGCAGGGGAGAACATAACATCTCTGCCTCACACCGAGCCAGAGTTTGTAAAGCTGTGTCTTGAAGCTAATGGACTCCAAAGATCAAGCAACTAGAAGCCTGGGGAAAGACGTGGAAACTGCCCCAATACCAGTGCTGTCAGCTGGCACATGCCCTGTGGCCCCTTGGTCCTACCAGCATTACAGGGAAAAAAGGCTCATTTTGCTTTTATTTGGTCTTCTGTGGCATTCTCCTGGCCTGGAATCCAGCTTCAAACCATGGGAGGTGGGCTGAGGTGATGTCGTATGAGCCCGGAACGCTTCCCCTCTGAGCTGCTCCTTTCCTCTGGAGGCTGCTGCGTGGGGTTGAAGCTCCTCCTGGGATGGGCTCTTTCCCCTGGCAGCCTTGAGTATGCGCCAGGGCTAATGTGCAAAATCTCGAGTTGCACTGGGCTTTTCACTCGCACATTACTAATTAGAAATAAATTTATCCTCTGAATAAGCATATACCCAGAACAGCCATCAACTCACAGTGAAAGCTGATGTTTGGGAGAAATCAGGAATCAAAATATGCTGAAGAAAACACAAGAACTTCAGTTTACCTCTGGGCCTAGGGTTCTCAGACCTGTCGCCCTCATGCTGCTTGTCCCAGCTTCGAGCCTCGTCTTCTCAGGCGAGGTGGGTAGGCGAACATGCCAGCAGCATTGCACGCCAGGCCAGGCTTTCTGCAAGGAGCATCCACACATTTCTCTCCTAGCAGCCATGCACGTCACATTGTGGTCTCAGCTTCCGTAGATACAGGAACAGTGTGGACAGCAGGGGAGTTTAAGACCAGTAGCTCTGAGATTTTTCCTGTTCACCCCATAAAGAGGAACTTGGGTTGGACATTTGGGGGTTCTCACGGGTAACACAGCTTCTCAAGTCCACCTTGGAGGATAATCCTGGGTAGAAGTGGACGTGAGCAGGGAAGTAGACGTTTCAACCTGGGCTGAGGTCAGGCGCTGGCCAAGTGGTCTGTAGATGGGAGATGGCAGTCTCAATTCAGGTATTATTTACAGGTAATACCTGGGGACGGTGCCCTCGCTGTGAGTTACTGGCCCTGAGAGGGAAGAAAGCAAGGACCCCTGGAACCACCTGAAGGCACTGGGCATGGGGGCTGTAGAGGCTGCGGTGCGAGTGAGGACCCTCCAGCATCCTCCTACCCAACGTCCTTGTTACAGGGACTATGGGGAAAAGGAGGGTGAGTCCAGCCTAAAGGAACTTACTAGAAGAGCCAGACAGGTGAGGAGAGAGCCTACAGGGGAGAGAGATGAGGGCAGGATGGTTTGATGGTCCGATGGTTAGAGCCAGGTTATCAACCATCACGAAGACTCAGCCAGACCTTACATTAAACTTCACAGTTAAGGGTGGAGAAAATAAGATGGTGATTTTTTTTTTCCATGAAAGACCATGAAAGCGAAGATAATTTTACCACAAGCCCTCCCATTTTTTTTTTACAGTTTCTTCTTTCATTCTTTCCTTCCATCCTGCCCCAGTTTGGGAGTGAACAGAATATTAGAGTAGAGAGAAATAGAGAACAGGACTGAAGGGAAATGTTTCAGGGAAAAGCCATTCCAAAAAATAGAGTGCATCGCAAATGCAAACAGCAAGTGGATTTTGCTGGAAGACTTGTTGGCACCAAGGAGTATTTGTCGTTTTGCTGGGGCTTTTTTCTCTAGGTAGTGAGCTTCTCTGGAGGGTGGTACTCAAAACAAAGAAAAATATGAAGAGAAACACAGGAAGAACCATTTAAGAACTTAACTTCGTCATCATCATTCTCAACATATCATTTCCTTTTTTAGGGTACCTTCAAAGCAGTCCAGCCCTTTGTCCAAAGCTTACTGGGTAAAATTTTCTTTTTTTCTTTCTTTTTTTTTTTTTTTTTTGAGACAGAGTCTTGCTGCGTCACCCAGACTGGAGTGCAGTGGCATGATCTCAGGGTTCACTGCAGCCTCCGCCTCTCGGTCTCAAGCGATTCTCCTGCTTCAGCATCCGCGGTGGCTGGGATCACAGGTAGGCACCAACATACCTGGCTAATTTTTTTTTTTTTTTTTTTATAGAGACGGAGTTTCACCATGTTGGCCAGGCTGGTCTCAAATTCCTGACATCAAGTGATCCGCCCGCCTCGGCCTCCCAAATTGCTGGGATTACAAGCATAAGCCACTGTGCCCGGCCCTGGGTGGAATTTTCTATCTTAGGCGAACCACCAAGGAGCTTCCCTTTGAGGCCCTGTGTGGCCGTTGCTGAGGGACTTCTCAGGTATCACAGCATTTCTGCTTAAGGAGGCCATAAGGAGGCCACTAGCTTTACCTTAAACTTGCCATGGTATTTTTTTTTTTTTTTTTTTAGACAGTCGTCCAGGCTGGAGTGCAATGGTGCAATCTCGGCTCACTGCAACCTTTGCCTCCCAGGTTCAAGTGATTCTTCTGCCTCCGCCTCCTGAGTAGCTGGGATTACAGGCGCAAGCCACCACGGCCAGCTAATTTTTGTATTTTTACTAGAGACGGGGTTTCACCATGTTGGTCAGCTGGTCTTGAACTCCTGACGTCATGATCCATCGGCCTCGGCCTCCCAAAGTGTTGGGATTACAGGCGTGAGCCACTGCACCAGGCCTGCCGTGGGTCTGTAAAGGGATCCTGCTTCCTCATTATCCCTTAATATCCTACAATTCAGGTAATATTTGTAAACAAGCCCACACACGTCTTCCAGCAAAATCCTCTTGCTGTTTGCATTTGCAATACACCCTATTTTTTGGAATGGCTTTTCCCTGAAACATTTCCCTTCAGTCCTGTTCTCTATTTCTCTCTACTCTAATATTCTGTTCACTCCCAAACTGGGGCAGGATGGGAGAAAAAAATGAAAGAAGAAACTGTAAACAAAAACAGGAGGGCTTGTGGTAAAATTATCTTCACTTTCACGGTCTTTCAGGGGGAAAAAAATCACCATCTTATTTTCTCCACCCTTAACTGTGAAGTTTAATGTAAGGTCTGGCTGAGTCTTCGTGATGGTTGATAACCTGGCTCTAACCATCGGACCATCAAACCATCCTGCCCTCATCTCTCTCCCCTGCAGGCTCTCTCCTCACCTGTCTGGCTCTTCTAGTAAGTTCCTTTAAGCTGGACTCACCCTCCTTTTCCCCATAGTCCCTGTAACAAGGACGTTGGGTAGGAGGATGCTGGAGGGTCCTCACTCGCACCGCAGCCTCTACAGCCCCCATGCCCAGTGCCTTCAGGTGGTTCCAGGGGTCCTTGCTTTCTTCCCTCTCAGGGCCAGTAACTCACAGCGAGGGCACCGTCCCCAGGCTGAAGACAGCTTTGTCTCTTTCTCTTCATTTGAGCATTGACGTCCCCAAGGAATGATATCCATCCCAAAGTTCTCTGTCAGATTTCTCCCAGGAGGCCCCAAGATTCTCATGTAAATTAGAGTCACATTTGGCCTGTCCTGCTGGGTGAAAAAGCAGACCACTTTTTCCCAATGGAAAAAGGGAGAGTTTTTAATAGGCAACTTCACTTTTCCTTGATCCCAGTCATAAACTCGTCCATACTGACAGAGCTACATAGTAACCCGCAAATCTAAGCATGTATGTGTATGTGTGTGTGTAAAATTGAGAGAGACTTTCTATTGTTTTTCAAAAGGTTGTAAAGACATAACAAATGGGTTTTTCTTTACAGTTCCTTACACCCGATCTCCCCAGAAAGCACCCAGGACTCTGATTCATCATGTCAAGTGGTCAATTAGAATCCAGGAAGGCCACTCTCTGGCTTCACCTTACTTCCTGTTCCAGGAGAGATGCTCGATGATGGGATTAGTCTGGAAGGGACAACCTCTCCTCAACCTGAGCTCACTGATTTGTGTTTTACAAAACAGTGTTCTTGATAAAAAATAAACAAAAAAGGCAATAATACAACGAATAACCCCAAGGTCTAAATTTAAACCAGCTGTGTCTCATAACAACAGAAGCTGCAATGGCCAACATACATCTCTAAGAAAATGCCAGCTTATATGGGTGAGGATTGGGATTTCTTGGCATAATGCAGGGAGCACATAAAAAATGAGTGGGGAAAAGACTGGTATTTGTATATCTATGTAAATATTACATATATTCTTAAATGATATTTAATAAATAATAAATCAAATGATTAAATAATATATACTACATATTCATGTTATATTAATATATGTATATGCTTCTCCAAATTTCTTCTTTTTGCTGAAAAGTGCTCAGCTGGAATCATGAAATCAGATGTCAAGGTTAAAATATTAGCAGTCACTTTTGAAATCAGAGCACAGAAGAGATCCCTACTGGACACTCGAGGACCCCTACCAAGCTTTTCCTTCTCTATATATTGGGGAAGGGGGCTATAAGTCAGCCCTGGTGGTATGGGGGGGATGGCACAGCAGTGACAGGAATAATGCCAGTGTCCTGCTGAGTGGATAAGGAGAGGGCAGAACCCGGGACTCCAAGGCCCACCTGTGGAGTGGGTCTGAGATTCCCAGGCTGTGCTCTCGGTCAAGTTGTCTATTGTTACCAAATGTGAGCTGGGCGGCGGCATCTGTGACTTCATCCCGTGGTGGCTGGAGTCTGGGATAAAAGTCATAGTTGTCCCAAAGGTACAGCCAGACTCCGCCCCGGGGAGCTGTTGTGCTTGCATTGCTGGGTTGCTGATAGAGTGATTGACTGGTGGCGTGTACTTTTGTCACAAGAATCATAACCGCAATGACAGCCACACAGCGTGCACCTAGAGTGTTGCTCAACTCTGGAGAAGACATGGTTGCAGGCAGACATACTTCCTGCTTGCTGGGCTTAGAGCACGGATGCTAAGGACAGACACGAAGGGCTTGGGAAAGGCATGAAGACGCATGGAGTCCGGAAGAGAGAATAAGAAAAGCAAGCATTTTGTTTTGGGTGGGATTGCTTTGTCGTTTTAAGAGACATTTCGTGATGCACGGTTGAGCTCCCTTGAAGAGCGAGTCTAGAGGAGGAATCGGAAGGTGGGTGAGAGTTGAGGGCATTTGAATTCCGTAATTACGACTCGAATTTCTGCCATCAGCTCGCGGCTGTGTTGCCTGCCCTTGCCACAAAAAAGCCATGCAGCGCCAAGCCAAGTCGGATGGAAGTGGGTTAGGGTATTATATAAGCCCTTGCGGGAGGGAAGATGGTCTTTTATGTGTGTTTCTTTTGCAGCGGCGGCGGCGAGCTCGACTCAGGTTGATTTAGAATACGGGTGACAGTGGCCTGGCGCGAGCCCATTGCTGACGAAAGCGGCTTATCCCGCGCGGTTTCCATGGAGACGAGCTGGAGCCGCGGCGGCGGCGGGGCTGTCAGCGAGCGCGGCGGAGCTGGCGCGTCCGTGGGGGTCTGCAGGAGGAAGGCGGAGGCCGGGGCCGGGACCCTCGCGGCAGACATGGACTTGCATTGTGACTGTGCAGCCGAAACGCCGGCCGCCGAGCCGCCGTCGGGGAAGATCAATAAAGCTGCCTTCAAATTATTCAAGAAGAGGAAATCGGGTGGCACCATGCCCAGCATTTTTGGGGTCAAAAACAAAGGGGACGGGAAAGGCTCGGGTCCGACGGGGCTAGTGAGGAGCAGGACCCACGACGGGCTCGCCGAGGTGCTGGTGCTGGAGAGCGGCAGGAAGGAGGAGCCGCGCGGCGGGGGCGACGGCGGCGGGGGCGGCGGGGGGCGGCCGAACCCGGGGCCCCCAAGAGCCGCGGGCCCCGGCGGGGGCTCCCTCGCCAGCAGCTCGGTGGCCAAGTCGCACAGCTTCTTCTCGCTGCTGAAGAAGAACGGGCGCTCGGAAAACGGCAAGGGAGAGCCCGCGGACGCGAGCAAGGCCGGCGGCAAACAAAAGCGGGGGCTGCGGGGGCTGTTCAGCGGCATGCGCTGGCACAGGAAGGACAAGCGGGCCAAGGCGGAGGCCGCGGAGGGGCGCGCGCCCGGGGGCGGCCTGATCCTGCCCGGCTCGCTTACCGCCAGCCTGGAGTGCGTCAAGGAGGAGACGCCCAGAGCCACGCGCGAGCCGGAGGAGCCCAGCCAGGACGCCCCGCGAGACCCAGCAGGTGAGCCCGCAGGGGGAGAGGAGGTGCCTGCCCCCGCCGACCGCGCCCCAGCTCGGAGCTGCGGAGAGGCCGAGGGCCCCGCGCGCCCCGGCGACACCGGCGCCCGGGGAGAGGACGCCGCGGGGCAGCGGCGCGCCGAGAAGCCCCGGGCACCCCCCGAGTCGGGGCCCGGGGAGGTCCGCACGGCCGAGGACGCTTCCAGGACGGGGGCCGTTCCAGTAAAGACTGTCCCCCTTGTCGACTCCGAAGGCGGCAGCGGCCGGGCGTCCGCCGCCCCGGACCCTGCCTCGGTCGATCCACCCTCAGACCCGTCGGCAGATCGTATTTGTTTGATGTTTTCTGACGTGACTTCACTGAAAAGCTTTGACTCTCTTACAGGCTGTGGAGATATTATTGCAGACCAAGAGGAAGAGGCAGGTCCCAGCTGTGACAAGCATGTCCCCGGGCCAGGCAAGCCGGCTCTCTCTAAAAAGAACCCCGGCGTGGTGGCCTACCAAGGAGGCGGGGAGGAGATGGCCAGCCCGGACGAGGTGGACGACACCTATCTGCAGGAGTTCTGGGACATGCTGTCACAGACCGAGGAGCAGGGACCCGGGCCCCAGGAGGGCGCGGCCAAAGCGGCAGCTGCACTGGAAACCAAGGTGGTGCCCGAGACCCCCAAAGACACCAGGTGTGTGGAAGCGGCCAAGGACGCGTCCTCGGTCAAGCGCAGGAGGCTCAACCGTATTCCCATCGAGCCCCATCCGAAGGAGAAGCCCAAGCACCCGGAGAAGGAGCAGCAGGAGGGCGTCCCCAACAGCGACGAGGGCTACTGGGACTCCACCACGCCAGGCCCAGAGGAAGACAGCTCGAGCAGCGGGACGAAGGCGGCCATCCCCCGGGATAGCTACAGCGGGGACGCGCTCTACGATCTCTATGCTGACCCCGACGGAAGCCCAGCAACCCTTCCTGGAGGGAAGGACAGCGAGGAGACGTCCTGCTTGTCCCGGTTAAAGCCCGTGTCTCCAGGCACCATCACCTGTCCACTGCGAACACCAGGCAGCTTGCTGAAGGACTCTAAGATCCCTATTAGCATCAAGCACCTGGCCAACCTTCCATCTAGCCATCCCGTGGTGCACCAGCAACCCTCCAGGAGTGAGATGCCCAGAACAAAAATCCCGGTTTCCAAAGTGCTGGTCCGCAGAGTCAGCAACCGGGGCTTGGCTGGGACCACCATCAGGGCAGCGGCCTGCCACGACAGTGCCAAAAAATTGTGAGGTCTTCCAGGCCACGGTGGACGGGCCATATGTCAAGGAATACAACTTTTCCCAGGAAACCACTAAAGTAAGTTTTGCTTTTCCTAAAGAAAGTCTTTTCGAAACCTCCTGCTCCAGAGCGTGGACCGAGGAGGTCTTTGTGCCCTGAGCAGGGTCCGGATAACACCAGAAAGAGGGATGCTACAATTGGAATTCTCCTCTCAAGATAAATCCGTGAGAATTATTTTCAAGCACTTTTTTCTTTTTTACTTTTAGGTTTTTCTTCTTTTTTCTTTAATGCACTGAACACTTGGAAGTCACCTTTACTTGCCTTTGCAGAAAACAGGACTTAGCCAAACCTAAGTAAGAGTCATGCCTGGATGTTGGCATGAGCCAGTGTCCAGAGGCCTGGAGGAACCACTGAAGAACCAGAGGAGATCTCCTCTTCCAAGACGTTTCCTTCCTTCCCTTCTTTCCTCTTTCCTTTCCAGGAAAAAAAAAAAAAAGACCCTTTGCTATATCACTGTGTGGAAAACATCTCCAAAGCAGAAACAGCCAGGTATTTACCTGATGAGCAGAGGGCACCATTGATTGGCAGAAAACTTCCTTACCTTCAGTTGCTAGGTATGCAAATTGATAAGTATCTAACACTGGGAAAATAAAGGCGAGTTTTGGTTTGATTCGTTTGGATCATTTGTTTGGGGAGATATAAAAGGCTCAGGAGAGCAGGCTTTTGCTTTTTTTGTTTTTTCTTCCCCCCACCCAGTACAGAAATCAGGATCAGGGAAAGATTTTACTAAATGCCAATAGATACAGTATTTTAGCATTTATAAGCTGTAACCTTCTCATGTGAAGATAATGCATATTTTACAGTTTATCCAGCTGTTAACATTTTGTAATCAGTCAATAATCTAGAATATAAAATCTGGTCTTCGAGCTAAACATGATGACGGTCCCCAAACCATTGCTGTAATGGGAAGCGATTCTGGTTTTATTTTGTATGTGTTCTCTGGTTCTCAAAAACAAAAACAAATCTATTGTGCTGGTGTCCCAGAGGAATGGCTCTGCCTTGTCTTGGCTAAGAGTCTGTTTCTCACTCCAAACCCCGGTTTTCAGATATTTTTTTAAGCTTGATTATAAAATTTTGGATTCAACCATTCCTCAGTCTGGCGAATGCAAAATGAGGAACCCATAAAGAAAAACAATAGAAAGATATAGCTTTTCATATCATTTGTTTTTTGCTTTATAGACTTATGATGAAGACAAGTGTGTTCAGAATATGACACTGGCAAGCTTATGTATTGTAAACACCTTATGCCAAGATTTTTTTTGAAAAATGGTTTGCTTCTATGTATGTTTTCTAATATTTCAGATGAAACATTTATTTTAGAAAGGGCTATTATATGCCTAGATAGTTTGAATGATAAACTGAAGCAGTTCCTAGAATGCTATTAGTGTCTGATGATGAAATTAATATCCTTTTTGAAATACACTTCAGTGTATTTAATCAAAAGACCAGAGCTTCTACTAGGAGGTGATTCATCATACCAGAAAGATTATGAATATTCAAGTGAAACTACACATATGTAAACGACATGAACACTTCTGTATAAGTCTTATTTCCAGAGAGATTGCATTAGTAATGAACTCTTGTTACATGCTTTTAAAGTTTCTTTTCTGTTTTATAAATGAAAGAATAAGGCAAGTTAAATATATGAAAACCTATTTTAATAATATAAAGAAAGTAACGAAATAAATGAGCATCAAAGGAAAGCAAATGTGAGCCAGTAGCAGAAAGTAGGCCATTCCCCATTTTAAATTTGCAATGGTTCCATTAGGGGAGATTTGCTGAATTTCTTGATTAGTCCTATGACTGGCTTTTATTGCATTGTCTCAGATCCATAATGTTACTTCAAAGTAATCTTTTAATATTTAATTTCTTTATGTATGTAGATGAGGCCCTGTATGCAGACATAGCCTTAAGCATTCTGAACACACTACCAAGAATTCATATAAGCATCTCACACTCACGTGCTCATGCACTCAACTGTGTGCAGACTAACAAAGACATCTACTCTAGATTTGGAAATTATTTTTGAAATTATTTCTGTCTTAAACATGGGATTTAAATTTGATTTCATGATGCTGGTACTATTTAGAGTCAAAATACATTCATTCATCTTTCCCTAGTGGATAGAGAAAATATAAATTTTATTCCTTGCTGTAAAACAAAGGATCTTGATTCCCTGGTTGTACATTTTCCTGCAAGGGTTATATTCCCCTTTGCATGAATCCATGGCAAAGTTTTGTTCGTTCATTTGTTCAATTGTACAGGAAAGTTAAGAATACCTGAAAAACTTAAGAAACATATTGCCTTTCCTATTACAATATTCTCATAAGTTTTTCAGGCAAAGGCAGTATGTCTCTTAAGCACTAGAAGAAAAGTTGTTGCTTTCACAATTGTAGGACTTATTTCTCCATTTACACCATTATGCTGTGTCTCTTCTTTATAAGTAAAGGAGCACGTGAGCACAGTTTATCTTAATTTCCACTGGCCTGTCAATTAACCAGTTATAAAAGATATACAATATTTTCTTTTGAAATTTATATTTTCCACTTTTTATTACCCTATATTTTAAAGAATTGCACCCACACGAATCAAATAAAGGATTTGGGCAATGAATTACACAGCCTTAATCACTTGATTGGAAATCCCTGAAGTGGCAGGAAGAGTGAATTCTCAACTTTTTCCAGTCATAAAAAAGGGATCATGGTTGCTTTCTTCTGCCAAGGGCTACTTTCTCTTATTAGTATTCATGGAGATTGTTGTTTTTTTCAAGAATTTTCCTAGATTTACATTCCAATTTTTATTAATACATTATCTAATGACCTTGTGAAGATTATTCAGACCCGTATCTGCAGATTTTTAAAGGGAAGGATTGGATAGAGGCTAATTATATCTTTCCCATGTATGTATATTTTAAGATATTTAGTTGATTGACTTCCTTTGGTTGAAAAGCTGCCCAAATTAGACAGGAAAAAGCCAAATCAATTGTTGGACGAGAATTTATCAGTTGGTTTAATAGCTCTGCACAAAGACAGCCTGACTTTAATGTCTATAATACGCATACAATGTTAGCTGAAACACTCTGCTTTAGTACAGATGGTGGTTGATGCTTTTATCCTGCCATTAGCACCAATTGGGAGAAATTTTACTTCAGCATTTTAAATAATCACAAGCAGGAGTAGATTTTTATTATTTCACCTAATAACAACAATAGAATATAAGATACAAAGGACTTCCTTTAGGTACATTTTCCACAAATTATCTGCTTATTTAAATACAAAATATTTAATATCTATGAAAGTGATAGCTTACTGAGTTTAAAGAATTTATTTCTTCATCTCAGAGGTAATCTCCCAAGTATTTGCAATTAAACAGTATGCAAATAGCCCTTTGCTTACACAATTATCCAGGTAAAAAGACGATTTCAGGTGTTGAGATTTCTTTGAATTTTCTAAGAGTTTTCATTATTTATGCCTTTGTCAGATCAATTGTAAAGGGGACTCTTGACTTTAGCTTGGTATGAAGAGATTGGCTCATGCAGCTCGTGTCTCCTAAGTGTCCAGACAGCAGTGATAGGACACTTCACATGACGCTAGCATGTTTGCTCCGTCCGCGTGGGGGAATGCATTCTCTGCTGTCAGTCATTCTAAATTTCTCTCTCAAATTACAAACATATGGATTTGGCTCCCCTGATGCTTGGCTTCTACTGAGACCTGTTCCAGGACATTCACATATGCTTTGATCCCACTCTCACTGTTAAGAAATAAATTCAAGAAGGTTTTTGCAGTTAAACATAAGGCAAATGCATCACAATTGCCTCACTCATCACTGAGGAAAGCTAGTTTAAAGTATCTGAGTGAAATAAGAGGAGAAACCCAAATACCTCACCTAACCCAGTTTCCCATTCCCCTCCTCCAGGCAGAGCAAGGAATGAATGGAACAGTTCTTAATTGTAAAAACTCAGCCTTATAAAATTTCAATTCATTACACACAAAAAATGTTTATGAAACGGTTTGGGACCAAAGGGATGGATAGTAGGTTAGATGAGTGTTTTATAGAGCCTGCGTGGGAAAGCAAAAGGCAAGTGTGGACTTCACAGGCAGAAGCGAGCTGTAACACTGTCAGTGTAGTGAGTGTGGCTCCTCACAGGCGGCCATTGATTGTGAGACTTCATCTTGCTCTGAAGATTTCCTGGTGGCTGTCATGCGTTGCTTCTGAAAAGCCTTGTACTGTGGTAACGGTTTAAAGGAGACAGTTTGCTGCAACAATAGCCACGTCTAAGGAATGTTATTATCTCACTGCAGATGATGTTTGTAAGAGGTGATTCAGAATGATAGTTTCATGATTATGGAAAGGAGTTCCTTCTCAAACTGCAAAAGGAAAGATGAACATAGTCACAAAGCCTCCAGAACTGAAATTGGACACCTTTTATGATTGAAATGTACTTCAATTCAATGCAACACATATTTATGGGGCATACACTGTTTCTAATACGTATAAAACCCATTCAGTTTGGAGCTCACACCTGAGTTGTGCTGTAACTGGATTTTCTTAATATTCATTAAAAACACAAAACAATTTTATTTTACCTTTTATTTTGTGTTTGCAGTTGTTGCTTATAGTTTGTGGGGTGGAGCAGAGTGGTGTGAGGTTGAAGAAAGGCACTATGAATTAAGCCACAGAAATGCCTCTAAAAAATAGTAAATGTAACAATGGTTAAATTCATTGGATTCTTATTATGTGTCAGGCGCTGCAAGGAGATTTAGAAATAATGACTTAGTCCTCTTAACAGCCATATGGGGTAGGTAATATTATCTCCCTAGCACGACAGCTTCAATTCACCCTTTTGGTTTCTGTCCCTTTCCATCTCTGTCTCTCTCTCTCTTTTCCCCTGGTCTCTAGGACAGGGATATAAAGTCTTTAGTGATTTTCAGTAACTGAAGAGCTGAGAACTGCTTAATGTCATTGTTAGCTCACTTCTGATAGAAAGAGCCACCCCATGTCCATGCAGCTGAAAATTAGTTTTGTGTCTGAGATGATGGTGCTCACAATCATGTACAGGGAACCGTGCCGCTGTGCTATGCTGAGCAGGCAAACATTGGCCTTCCCTTGGAGGGATCCTCTTCTCTTAGGATAAACGTGGGAAGTACAGACGGAAATGTCTTCTGTTGTCACGGCGATGCTGCCTCCCGATAGGCTATCATTCATTCCAAGCATGTTTGTTTCATTTGCATTTTTTCCTACCTTAAACCCAGTCTCAGTGGGTTCTCGGTGGTCTAGGCATATGTGTGTGTGTTTTAATTGTAGTAAGAATATTGAATATGAGATGTACCCTCTATAATCTTTTTTTTTTTTTTTTTTTTTTTTTTTTGAGATAGAGTCTCACTCTGTCACCCAGGCTGTAGTGCAGTGGCGTGATCTCGGCTCACTGCAACCTCCGCCTCGAGGGTTCAAGCAATTCTCCTGCCTTCGCCTCCCAATTAGCCGAGACTACAGGCATGTGCCACCACGCATTTGTATTTTTAGTAGAGACAGGGTTTCACCTTGTTGGCCAGGCTGGTCTCAAACTCCTGACCTCAAGTGATCTGCCCGCCTCAGGCTCCCAAAGTGTTGAGATTACAGGCCTAAGCCACCGTGCCCAGCCTACCTTCTTTAAGTTTTAAGTCCACAATACAGTATTGTTAACCATTGACAAATGCTGTACAGCCAATCTCCGTAACCCACGCATCCTGTGTAACTGGAACTCTGTGCCCACCAAGCAGCAGCTCCTCATTTCCGCCCCCAGCCGCCCCTGGCAACCATCATCCGCTCTCTGCTTCTATGAGTTTGGCTATTTTCGGTCCCTTATAGAAGTGGAAACGCGCAGTATTTGTCCTTCTGTGACTGGCTTATTTCATCGAGCACAGCGTCCCCCAAGTTTATCCATGCTGTTGCATATGGCAGGATTTCCTTCATTTTTCAGGCTGAGTAACATTCCCTTGTATGTATACGCTGCATTAAAAAACCCATTCACCACTGGCAGGCATTTAGATTATGTCCACGTCTTGGCTAGTGTGAGTAACGCTCCAAGGAACGAGGGAGTGAAAATATCTCTTTAAGATCATGAATTCAGTGTTTTGTTTTGTTTTTACATATTTTTTTACATAAATACCCAGAAGTAGAATTACTGGGTCAGTCATACGGTGATTCTAATTAAAAATAGAGTTATTTTTAATTTTTGGAAGAACTTCTGTACTGCTTCCCACAGTGATTGTGTGTCTGTTTACATTCTTACCAATGCTGCACAAGGACGCCAATTTCTCCACTCTTTCCCAACTTGTTATCTGTGTGGTTTGTTTCAATGACAGCTGTGTGAGTTGTCTCTTGCTTTGATGCAATTGTGAACTTCGGAAATAAGCACCTGGTTCCTTTAAAAGCAGTCCATCCTATGTTGTGTCTACAGCCATTGAATCCTGGCCTACATTTTCTGATTCATTAACTCATTCCACTAATAGCTATTGAAGACCGTCAACAAGTCAGTCACTGTGAAGATAAGTATTTTATGTTGAAATCTACTTACATATCCTGTATGTTTACTATGGTGTCAGGGAGGATGCTCTGTGCTTTTTTTTTTTTTTTTTTTTTTTTCACATTGTTATCTTTACTGTTCACAAGAACCATGTAAGGTAGGTATTGGTAAAATGGGGTAATTTTGGAAATTCTTCAATAATCAAGTAGAATAACTTTTTGCTCTATGTAAGAAGATATGTTTTAAATAAGATAGAGGCTAGGTTTCTGGTTATTTGAGACATATTGTACTTTATCAGATACTCTCAGACCTGAATCATTTAGTAAACTAAAGCAGAAACACTAAAAATACCTGGTTCAATAGCACAGGGGCACAGAGCAGACACGCAGAAAACGCTTGTTCGCTTGCCCTGAAATGGCTCCGGGTGGCCTGAAAGAATTAATGAACCTTCTCAAATATCTACGTTACAACCATTGGTTCCCACTACACATTTATTTCTAAATAAAGGAGGAGAAACTCTAGCAAAGTAATATTGAACATTTTCATTTCTTCCAGGATAAATCTTACTGAACATGGAGGATCCGATAGTGGTAGGTCTATCAGGAATATCAGGGAAAATGCTTTTGATGTTGTAGGCAGAGTAAATTCCTGTCATTTGTACTTGACCCCAGCTGCCGAGCAAGCTCACTGCGAGCTTCAGGTTTTACCCAAGTTATTTATATAAAGTATCTCGGTGTAATCGAGGGAATTGTAGGTTATTTGAAAATAGTAACAAAGAAAACCCAAATGAGAAACTCCATTTCTATAATTAGTTTTCCTGAAAGTCAGGCGTGTCTTTGAGGACAAGCTTTTGGCGGTATTATTTTTGTGCACAGGAGGAAAATTGTTAGTAGGTTTATAGATATTATTTTTATAATAGAATGTTAAACCCCTGAAAAACATCAAAAATTGTCTCCTAGAACTAATTCTATGTTTTAAAAACTTGTTTTAAAAAAAGGATTCTACATAGCAATAGGGTCTTTTCTCCTTTCTCCACTCCAGTGGTTTAATGGGATAGAGGAATCAATGTTTCTATTTTTAAACCTGTAACTATTTTATTTTGGATATTTTGTATATTTGTTGATGTGATTCCATTTTGTGCATATGTACCATTGTGCATGTTGCTGTTTTTGATAGTCACTCTTTAAATGAATGTAAGAAGCTTGGACTAATAGCACTTTTCATGTTCCATTCAAACATCTGAAAATGAAACTACAACACTGCCATTTTAATTGTTGTGTTTAATTCAGTCAATAAATTTTGTTGCTCCTTTGCATTTAAAGTGAACTGTTTGGGTTGTTATTTCTCCAGAATCCATTTTGTTTCCAGTCTTTTCAATTTTTAGAAATTGCACTAATGATGGTGTTAATGAGGAGGTGAAGTGTGTGTGACTATCTCATGGAGAGACCAATGAGAGGCCCCTATTTCTTTCTACACTTTGTAAACAAGTGAAAAATTCCTTGTTATGTTTGGGCAGCTGCCTTCTGAAAAGCTCATGTGTTATTCCGACTCTGATCTGATTTCTGAGCCCCTTACTCAGAAAATCTTTATTCCTTATCATCCCTCATAAGGTCAGCTGATACGCTGTGACTGTCAGGTAGCGGCAACATTGGGGCCACTGAAGTCTTTCTAAAGAGTTGCTTTCTGGTTTTGTTTATTTTGTTTTTGGTGGTGTATTTTCATTTCCTATGTGTAATAGGTAGGGAAGCCTCTCATGAAAGGGAGGCAGGAAACCTGCAGATGTAGCGACTGATCCCTGGAGGCCGAGAGCTTTCCATTCTGTGGCCCAAGAATGGGCTGAGAACCAAAAGGGGAGGTGGATGCATCCGCAGCAAGGCGGCAAGGACTGTTTCCTAGACCTTTTTCTGGTAATTGATAGACCAAGCAGGCAGAAAATCACTCAGAATAAAGACGATTTGAGCAACATGTTTGGCCACACATTACAACCCTGAACCAAACAACTAAAGAATTCACATTCTTTTCAAAAGCAAATGAAACACTTGGGAATACTGACTACATCCTAGACCATGACCTAAGTCTTGACACATTTCAAAAAATAGTTCCTCACAGAATGAGTTCTCTTACCAACACACAACGACACTAGAAATTAGTAATAAAAAGATAATTAAAATCACTCCATACATTTGGATATTTGAAAAATGCACCTTTCAATAGCTCATGGATCAGAGAATAAATCAGTAAGGATATTAGAAAACCATTAGATGTGCATAATTATGAAAATGATCCATATTAAGATGTGAAATATAACCAAATCTGTACTTAGGAGAAATTTTAGAAATAACTTCAAGTAGGTTATAAAATATAAAGAGCTGAGTATTAATAAGCTGAGAATCTATTTTAATTAAATATAAGAAGTTAAGAAAACAATAACAGAATAAACACATAGAAAGTTTAATTAAGGACTGGCCAGGTGTGGTGGCTCACGCCTGTAATCCTTGCACTTTGGGAGGCCACAGTGGTGGATCATTTCAGGTCATGAGTTAAAGATCAGCCTGACCAACATGGTGAAACCCCGCCTCTATGAAAAATACAAAATTAGCTGTGTATGGTGGCTCAGGCCTATAAATCCCAGCTACTTGGGAGGCTGAGGCAGGAGTGTCACTTGAACCCAGGAGGTGGAGGTTGTAGTGAACTCAGATAGGGCCATTGCACTCCAACCTGGGCAACAAAAGTGAAACACTATCTCAAAAAATAAATAAATAAATAAGAGTTGATATGAATAAGAGCAGAAAGCAATAACACAGAAAACAAAGATACCCTAAAGTAGATCAACAAAGATTAAATTTTTTGAAAAAGATATAAAAATATTTTTAAAGAAAAAGGCAGAAACGATACAAGTATGGTCCAGAGTTAGATGGACATAACTACAGTTGCAGTAGAGATAAAAAGTACAATGGAAGAATGTTATAAATATCATGGCAATAATATTTTTTTTAAGACAGGGTCTAGTTCTGTTGCCCAGCCTGGAGTGCAGTGGTGTGATCATGGTTCACTACAGCCTGGACCCCTTGGGCTTAAGCAATTCTCCTGCCTCAGCCTCTCAAATAGCTGGAACTGCAGACCCACACCACCATGTCCAGCTAATTATTTTATTTTTTGTAGAGATGGGGTTTCACCATGTTGTCTAGGCTGGTCTCAAATTCCTAGGCTCAAGCGATTTCCTGCCTCGGCCTCCCAAAGTGCTGAAATTACAGGCATAAGGCACTATGTCTGGCCTATTATGACAATAAATTTTTAAAGCCAAGGTAGTACATGCAAATTTGTGTGTGTGTGTGTGTGTGTGTGTGTGTTTGTGCTTGTGTGTGTGTGTGAAACATAGGAATATATGCTTATATATACGTATATATAACCAAAAGTGACTTGAGAAGAAATAGCTAACGTAAAGAGTCTTAGAAATATGAGGGAGAGTGAATTGGTAGTTAAACTCTCTCTCCCTTTCCAACAAAACAAAACAAAGCAGTAAAACCAGATAGCAGAACCAGTGTTTCTGCAAAATCTAGTGATCGGGCAATTCCAAATTTATAGAAATGTATATAATTATAGAAAATTATAAACACATCTGTATCATGAAATTCGACATTTCTACATAAACTATGAGAAAAAAATTGCATCTAGTAGTCTGTAAAATCAACCATACATCATGATTAAATTGGGTTTATTCCAGGAATACAAATATGGTTTCCTGTTAAAATAAGATCTCTATAAATATAAATTACCACTTTAAGAGATTGAAGAAGAAACGTGAGATCTCAAAGTGATAGGTTCACATGACTGAAGCAGTCCTTAGTGATCTCTAACAATTCCAGAAGTTGGATACCTAATTCCTGTCCTGTTCCTTAAAAGTACTTCAGCTCTTAGAAAATCAAACACCACATGTTCTTACTCATAGGCGGGTGTTGAACAATGAGAACACATAGACACAGGGAGGGGAGCACTACACACTGGGGTCAGTTGGGGGGAAATGGGGGAGGGATAGTGGGGTGTGGGGAGTTGGGGAGAGATAGCATGGGGAGAAACGCCAGATATAGGTGAAGGGGAAGAAGGCAGCAAATCACACTGCAATGTGTGTACCTATGCAACCATCTTGCATGTTCTTCACATGTACCCCAAAACCTGAAATGCAATTAAAAATATTTTTTAAAAAAGTACTTCAGCTCTTCAGGACACTGGGTTTCTTCAAACTTTAAACATTTGTCTAGCAACATTATTTTAAGCAATTGTTCACATTTCATTCAATTTAAGATACTATAGATGCTCTCTTCTTTCATTTATTGAAAAAAAAAAAAAAAAAAACTGCCAGTTACAAGATGCACCCAATTTCAGAGATGTAAAATTGTGAAAATGCGCATCTTAGAATGGATGAAATATTGATTCATTTGTTTAAAGTTGTAACGATATTTTTCCTCTTCCCTTAGAGAAAGGAAGTTTTTTTGTTTTTTTCTTTTTGAAAAAGACAGTTATCTACAGATACCAAATATCCAGACATTTGGAAGCGATTAATATATAGCGAAGAATGCATTAGGCAGACACAATCAAGATCCCAGACTTTAGGAAAATTATATATTCCTTTTGGTATAGAGTTTTGCATACTTTTTGTGAAATGAAAAAAATGGAACCAATTCACTTGCACTCAGGTTATTCCGCAAGCTTCTCACTTTGAAGAAAGTGAAGGCCTGCGTGCCTGACATTTTTACCTCTTATCTTTCTTCATCAAGCAGGCCTCCCAAAGTGGCAGGCAAGAACACAGTGATCGTCATTTTCTCTCTCCCTGTCAGCTGCTGGCACCTCCGTGTTTCCCAGAAGACACCAGTTTCTCACAGATATACGTCTGGTACTTCTTTCCAGATGGTAATGTGTTTCTTAACAAGCTTCTAACTCTTTCCTGTTGCCCATGGGAGTGCATTTCAGAAGACTCGCATCACATCTTGTTTTCTCAGTCTTGTAGAAATGCACCAGGCCTTACGCATGCCTACCACCATAATATGTGGCCGCCTGGTGGATGTCAGCTGGCTTTCTTCTCCCCCAGGCAGGGTGCCCCATCCATTGGTAGGTCTAAGCCCAACATTTGGTTCAAGGAGTGATGATCTATCAGTATTGGTATCCCAACCTGTAGGTCTTTAAATAGCAATAAAATGTGATACTATTCTCGGCTGCGCTCTTACAGAGGGTCTGTGGTGCCAGCTGCCCAGGGACTTGCATCTTTAAATTGATCATGTATTTGCAGACTTTTGGTTTTAATTTTTCCCTCTCATTAACATCATTATTTTTTATTCTCTTAACTGACTTTCTTCATACTGACCTTTAGCCCAACATTATCTTCCCAATCATTCATTTGTTTTTCCTTTGGGGCAAATCATACAATTCTTGCGTTTGGGGGGAAATTTGTTCTGAGAGTCACGTGATGAACTGGTGTTCTTTGGGATTTTCGTAGAATAAGTAATTTGTCTGGTCTTGGTTCCTCTTCCTGGGAGATAACCTCTAAATTCTTGCAAATTCCTGAGTAATAAAATTGCCTTTATTATTCATGGCGGGCTCCTGGACCACACCTGAGTTTATGCTAATGAGATGATTTACGTTTGGGGCTGGTCACACCAGAAATCTCAACCCTGAGATTAGAGGGTTGGGCTTCTGTGCCATGACTTTCTTACTCCTGAATTCCAGAATGGGGAAGAGGGCTGGAGATTGAGTTCAAGTACGTGGCCAGTGATTTATGGAATGAAACCCTAGTAGAATCTCTGGATGCTGGGGCTTCTTGGATAAGCTTTTTGGTTGGTGAACACACTGATGTGCTAAGAAGGTGACATGTCCTGATTTCAAGGACAGAGAACATGGAGCTCTGTGTTCAGAACCCTCCCAGACCTTGCCCCACGTGTTTCTGCATTTGACTGGTCCTGAGTTGTATCCTTTAGAGTCATTATGACAGTAAGTTTAGCACTTTCCTACGTTCTCTGAGTGGTTACAATGAACTACCAAACATAAATGGGTCATGGGAATCCCCAAATTGTGCAAGTGGCCCAAGACCCCTGAACATGTGGCTGGCATCTGAAATGAAGACAGCCTTGCTCCCTTGACTTCATAGAATCCATGCTAACCTGAGTGGCTGACATCAGAAACAAATTGCAGAATACAGTGAAAAGAAAGGCTTAACTTTATCAGTTCCACATAAAGTCTTTAAAAAATTATTTTCCGTAAAGAAGTAAAAATTGATAGTATGTTCTTATAGCATGTATGCCCAATTGCTCTACGAGCTACACTTGTTTCCCAGC